TTCTGGATCAAATCAAAATTCTGCTGAAAAACAAGAGGACTTTCCTGGAATATTAAATAATGAAGAAACAGTATTGGCCGTATTGGCCGTGCCTTCTTTTATGAGTGCTTCAGATTTTTTGGCATTTGTTGCACCAGTACAAAGATTTGTAAGCCATTTTAGATTTATCAGGTATGTTACAAGCATACTTCATATGTGATTGATATCCATATTCAATATCTTAGAATTATTTAATTATTATGGTTAGAGATTCGGCACCCAACAAATTTATGGTCTTGATGAAGTTTAGACATGCACGAGCCGCATGGGATTTTTATAGACAATTTAATGGTCGTCCTTTCAGTTCTATGGAGGTTCATATTTTTTTCATTCTTAGATATTTGTTTTTATTTATTTATATTTTTCAGATGTTTTATATTTTATTCAGCCTGAAATATGCCATGTGGTCTACATCAAATCTATCGAATTCAAATCTACTTCTATTCCTCCCGACGCATTCCCTTTTTTGCATGATCCTTTTATACCCTCTACGCAAAACGACACAATGAAATCTAATGATCAAACTCAACAATCCTCCGTTTTATATGAACTTCCAACATGTCCTGTATGCCTTGAAAGAATGGATGCATCCGTAACTGGGTTGCTCACAATACTATGCCAACATACGTTTCATTGTGATTGCTTAAGTAAATGGGGCGATAGTAGGTAAGTGTTAATATTTTTATTTAAATAATAAATTTGTTATTTTCCAATAAATTAATAATGTTATAATATATTTGTAGCTGTCCTGTGTGTCGTTATAGTCAGAAAAGTAATGTTCTCGATCCATCACTAGGACAAAATGAATGCGGGGTTTGCGGTGCCACTGAGAGTTTGTGGATATGCCTTATATGTGGCAATATTGGTTGTGGTCGATATCAAGAAGCACATGCATATTGCCATTATAAAGAAACTTCACATTTATACGCTTTAGAATTAGAGACTCAAAGAGTTTGGGATTATGCTGGTGACGGGTAAATTAGAATATTTTTATTATTATGCGATATAATTATTAAAATTTCGTTATTTTATTTCATAATAGATACGTTCATCGTCTAATACAAAACAAATCTGACGGTAAACTAGTAGAGCTACCTAGCCCTGATGATCCGCCACAAATGCAACAACCACGTGCGGAAGTTGATCAAGTGAGTGTGATTATAAAAACGTCTATTATATGAATTATGACTCATGTAAATCTCAATTAGGATAAACTTGATGCAATTGGACTTGAGTACAGTTACCTTTTATCAACCCAGCTTTCTTCTCAACGAGTTTACTATGAAGAAAAACTTGAGTCGGTCACACTTCAATTATCAAAACTAACAAGTCAAGTTCAAAAGTTGGAGGATGAAATTTCAACTTTGAATCAAGATAAAGATAAATATAAAAAAGAAAATGATTTACTTGAAAAAGAAAAGATACCATCTTTGATAAAAGAGAAGAAAGTTATTGAGAAGAAAATGGAA